TCTCTCGAATTGGCCTTCTCAGCCACACTAGACGCTGTTCCAAGACCTCTATTCAGAGCACGTTACCACAGTCTCTCAAGACTGAAGGAATGACTACACACAGTTTGGTGGTGTGGTCACAGGATTTGTAATCCCCAGAATTTGCCTGGCCTGGCCTATTCATTAATGCTTAGAAAAACCACTCCCACAAAAACCAAACCAAACCAAAAAACCACCAAAACCAAAACCAAAACTCGAACCCTACTGTATACACTTCTTTTACAAGAGTCCTTTCTAGAAGCAGTCAGATGTCTTGTTTCTTCTCAGGCTATACTTCTTCAGTATAGAAAGGACTACGAGTCGTATCAAGAAATGACAAATAAGCACCTTGGTTCACTTCATCCTACGAGTATTTCCTTGAAAGTAAATCCTACTGAGATCAACACAGCTTACTTCTAGGATGGTCCACACAAGGGTAGAGCTTATAAAAACCAGTTTACACACTAATACAATGTAGGTATCCTTTGGTATTCTATCCACGGGTTGCAGCCACAACACCATAAGGACACAAACAACTCCAGAATGAAATGGAATGAAATCCTGATAAACACACATGGGCTAATTACTCAGTGTTTGTATTTGTAATACAGAATTGGCTAAAAATCAAGAAAAAAATTACTTAACAAGTTCTGTTCCACATGTTCCTTGTTTGCAAATAAAAGACAGGTTTCCCTCCAACTTCCTCCGCCCGCAGAGCGTTCTTGTTTTCATACCCATCTGAAGTGTATTTGGGTTCCTTGAAGTGCAATGAAAGGAACCACCAGCCAGTGTTAATTGTGGGTGGGGTGGCCGGGGGTGGTGAGAAAAGACTTGGCAACAAAAAGGATAAGCTGGCTGAATGTAGTTCTGCACAAATCATTTTTTCTCTAGGGAGCAACAGTCTTGCACAAAAGAGGGCAAGGCGATAAAGGAAAGCTGTTGAAAAGAAAAGAGGGGAAGAAAGACAGGAGGGAAGAAGAGAGGAACATGGCTTGAGAGATCTCAGCAGTGATGCCAATTCTTCGACCAAGAAACTCTACCAAAGGAATTTTCCTTTTGTCATGTAACCTCCAAGCAGAGACTTCAAAGTAAATAATCATTTATGAGAAATGTTTCAAATTATTTCACAATTTTTTAAAACATCACCACCTGAATGTCTGCTACATTGCAAAAGCATAAATGCTAAAGCTATTGGGAATACCATGGAAGGAAGAATTGGCTTCAGGGTCTTCATATCTGGTACCTTTGCCAATTTTTTAAACAACAGTCTCCTATGTCCTTAAAAATCCATCTCCGCCTGATGCTTTTTAGCCTTATTGCTTTTGAAAACAGTTACAGTTCCGTGCTACATTCTATGAATAAACATCCGAATAAAATTGCCCACAACAGTACTGACAATCCACCAAAGAGGAAAAGGCACCACCTGTCCATTAGGGCCACAAAGCTGCTGCCTCTGTTTAATTTCTGTGAGTGGAGAGCACAAATTTTTAAGTGCCAGTGTAATCTGAAAAGACATGCAGTGGCTACCATCATGCTACTTTTGAGAGCCAGGCTCAGAAATAACACCACTTGAATAACATCTGTAAAATGAAAAAGCCACTTGTTCTTTAAAATGATCTTGGGGCACTGATTTCACACATACATTTATCTTACACCACATCATTATCTACACATGTATGTACTGTACAAAAGATAATGAGATGAAAAGCAAAATTCTGTTTACAACTTCATTTTCATGCAGATCAAAGTTTAAATGAAGACACTGAAACTGGGCTGAAACCCCTTTAGATACATGTTCAGAAGTTGCAAGCATGGAGGAAACAGGGAGCACACATTCCAGCCAGATTTCTCCACTTGCAGCCTACTTACAGTGGTGCCTCGCTTAACGACGTTAATTCGTTCCAGCGAAATCACTGTAGCGCGAAAAAGTTGTAAAGCAAAATAAAAAAGCCCATTGAAATGCATTGAAAACCGTTCAATGCATTCCAATGGGCTGAAAACTCACTGTCCAGCGAAGATCCTCCATAGGGGCGGCCATTTTTGGTGCCTGTAGAGCGAGGAATCTGTCCAAAAACACAGCAGGGAGCCATTTTGAGCAGCTGGTGGCCATTTTGAAAACCCAACAATCAGCTGTTTTGATCGTTGTAATGCGAAGAATTGGTTCCCGAAGCAGGGAACTGATCTTCGCAAAGCAAAAAAACTCCATTTAAAACATTGTTTTGCGATTGCAATTGCGATCGCAAAAACATCGTCGTGAAGCGGATTCGTTATATGGGGTAATCGTTAAGCGGGGCACGACTGTATGTTGACATGGAAAGTCTGCAAAGGAGATGTAACTGTGTTTAGATGAACAGGGCTACAAGCTTCTTAGGATTAAGGAATCCAGATAAGGCAGGGTTATAATCACATGAGCAGATAGTTTGCATTTTCGACCACTTGTAGTATGGTCCACTGTAAGCTATTTCCCAGTAATCACACATCATACAGGGAATAGTGCTCCAGCCTGACCTTGATCCTTGCCAAATCTGAACCTCTCTGGTCCAGCAGCAGAGCTGCTGCTTTGACAGCTGGGCTCAAGTAATTGGAAATGAATTACCCTTTTCTCTTTCAAAACATTTGACTTCGAAAACATCAGTGTACAAATAGCGAAAAGATTTGCTGTGTAAAAAATGACAGTAGAATACCTTCAAATGCAAGGGGCCTTAATAAACTGAATGTGAGTACAAGTCAAATCCTCTGAAAGGTTAGTTAACACTGGCCTGATATAATGCCTATACGATCCTCATACTCCTAGTGTCCCTGATTACTGAAAGACAGGCTCTCTTTCCTGGCTTTTCCCTCAGATACAGCTCTGTGCCTATATCTGTGAAGATTCCCAGTCATCCAGGTGAGGTTATCTGGAAGTTGACTCATGGCAACTGAACTTCTGTCTTATTGGGTTGAAACATTTTGTTACTCATTCAAGTAGCTTCTTCAGTCTGAGGAGAGTTGGTAAGAGACCCCTGATATATCCTCCATGTTGGGAAGTGGAACCTGATTGAATCAGGGGTCTCCTACCAACTCTCCTCAGACTGAAGAAGCTACTTGGATGAGTAGCGAAACGTTTCTGCTTAATACAAAAGAAGTCCAGTTGCCATGACTCAACTTCCAGATAACTCTGTGCCTATTTTGCTCTCTTATGATTTTCCTTTTCTGGGACACTTTGTTAATATTATGTTAGTGAAAGGCATCAGCATTGACATTCTGCAAGGTTCAGCTTCCTTCTCAGAGTCTGTAGAAACTAAATGTATGAATGTAAAAGGATGAATTGGGTCTTTGAACACGTTTTCCACTGGTATGCATGTGTATCAATAGATTCACATGAAAACTAAAGGACCATGCTGTACACACCTTGCCATTCCACATACTGTAGCCGTGGCTGATAGTAGGCTATAAGACTGGGGAACCACTGGTCCTCCACATGTTGGACTCCAATTCCCATCAGCTGCCCAGAGTGAGGTATGATGGAAGAAGTAGCTCTGGAGAGCAAAGGATTTCGTGCTCTGTAATGGGACATCCCTGACTCTTAAAATGTTAACTAAAATCTTTAGTTTTAATCTGAACAAGTAACTGTCTGCTTGTGGCTGCTGTACCAGTAGAGGAGAGATTACTGCAAAGAAAATTAATGTAGCCTGTATGAAGGTTAAGAGAGGCCCTCAACAATGTGTAACAGTGGAAAGGATGGGCATGAGGATGGGGTAACAAGCATGTCTCTATTTTTACACTGCAAAACCTTGTAGAGTATGCATTAACTGCCTCACACTAATCTAGCTGAGTTTTAAAATCTATTTGGCTTAATTATATGCCACAGCAAACTTACTAAATCCTTTCCTGACACATACTTCCATAGGTGATAGGACATAATTGGTTAATCAGCAAATTCTCTCACTATATCAACTGTTTATACTTTCTACTCAGAATGTAACTGGTGCACCCTGAATCAGATAGAAACAAAAAGATTATAAATATATATAATGTGTAGTTATCATCAGAACTGTGGAATCCATGACCCTCCACGTCTTGCAACTCCCATCAGCCTTAGCCAACACAGACCGTGGGAAGGGATGATGGAAATTTTAATCCAATGATTTCTGGAGGACCACATGTTTCCCAGCCCTGACAGATAGCACCACAGACTGACACAAGTTTACTCTAGATCAAATTGTCATCATCTACACCTTCACTAATCCCCTGTTTAGGAAGACCATCAAAACATCTGGAGGGCATTGATAAGGGCAGCATTGTTCTAACTTCACTAGAAATAGCTCGAAAACAGAAGCATCCATGCATTCAGATTTTGCTAAATATTGCAAATCTGCTCCACTCTGTGAATGTCATGTTCCAAGAACAGCTACACTGAAATGCACTGAGTTTCTGGTTAGCTATAATTTAGGCATCTCATATACCAAAGATGAAAAGGAAGTCTTTCTGTTCCAGCAGGGCATGATACATCATCATGCAGGAGTAATGGCAGAAGGATATCTGGGCCACCATCACTCAACCCTAAGCTATGGCTGAAGCCCTGCAGATCAAACTCAGGCTTACAAATAAAGTACCAAATTCTCTCTATATATATTTTTTAAAAAGAATACATAAGCAACTTTAATTAGAACAAAATCTATATGCCAGTCTATATGCAGGTCTCTCACTGCCATATACAGGTACAGCAAACTATATTAAATGAATGTGTGGAAAAGGTTGAAGACTCCGTAAGGCCACAGGACCACAAATCTGCCTGAAAAGGTAATGCTTATTTAAAACAAAAACAAAAAGCTACATTCAGTGCAGAAACCCAGTTACATTTGCTATTATTTTAAGTCTTACGTAACAGTAAAAAAAAACAACAACAAAAAGAAAAATGATATGTAAAAAAGATGTTAAAGCAGTTAATGGTGCAGTCCAACAGAACAAAAAATAAAATAAATGAGAGATGGATGATTTACCTAGTTCACTGTCCAGTTCTTCCGTGTGTACCCCTTCTTCTCCAAAGGAAGAGCAGTAAGTGAGATAGGAAAAAAAATTAAAAGAAAAATTCAGACACCAGCACCAAGCAGGAAATCCCCTTCAGCACATAGCAGAACCAGCACCAGCTTTTATACTAGCATAGCCCAAACCCACACCATGACAACTTAGTCAGACGGGATTGTGTGGCCACTTCTCTCACTCAGCTGTTATAATCACCCTAAATTGAGATCTTTAGACACTCGGAGCAACTGGGTGCACAGCCATCCCACTTATACATGTGTCCTGTTGCAGAAAAGGTCAAACCATTACAGACTCTGCATGGATTTTGGAAAGTTCTTGTGCACAGGATGAGCTCCTGTGTACAAATCAGAGGCTTTGAGAATGCAAGAAAACAGGCCTGAAAGGAAGGTTACTTTGCAACAATTAGAATATCTAAATTGATTGAACAGGTTTGTCCCACAACAGTTAATATGAAAACCAATCTTGTTTGTTCTTAAGCAAGAATGGAACCCACAAAAAGTTAACTTGAACATATAGTGTATTGGGTAGAGCTGGGATTACAAAGGATCAGGACTTGACAGATGTTGCCATCATAGTCCTATCTTTCCTCAGCCAAATAACTGCATAACTGCAAATGTGTTAGTTGACTGCACTCAGAAATGCAAATTTATGTGTTGATTGCTGCATGGAACTCTTTCATCCTAATCTATATGCCCAAAGTATACTTTATGCATTATGGTTGTTGCTAAAGGACAACCACTTGTAAAGACCTTATCTTTAAAAAAAAATGGATCTATTATCCATTTATCTATTGCACAGTGTTTCCATCTGCTAACGATGGCATGAATGACTGGATATGTCATTTTGTCAAGAAACAAAACTTTAGCCAGCAAATGAGGGATGATAAAACTTGCAAGCAAATTAAAAAAGGAGAATGGATTCAGTTCAGCACACATCAGCCAGATGTTCTTGAAAATCTTCAATGCATTGGATATGTCAACATAAAAATAGCTCATTATTTCAAATCTCGTTTTCCAAGCAGATTAATTTATAATTGACAATGCCATTGCTGTCAGACACAGTGTAAAGATCCACAATGATTTTAAATGGTATATGTTTTAACAGCTAAATTCTCAGGGAATTAACAATAGATTCTCAGGGATATTATGACATGTCAAAATGAAAGTATCACATTAGCAGGAGTCTACTTTACTAATCAGACTTTCACCTTCTCTTCTTCCCCCTGTGATCCTCTCAAAAAACCTGTTCCTTCCTGAACGCCAGAGCAGAATTTGAGGAGCATGCAGGGGAAAGAGGACAATTGCTCCCTTCCAACTGTGATGAAAGAGAATTGGAAAACTTGCTTGGATTTCATTCCAAATTCAATCTTGGAGACCCACCAAAGTTGAAGGAACCCACAATTCTGTGGGTCAGCACATATTTCAAATGCATAAAATACAAATAGCAATCCTAGGCATGTTTATTGCAAGGATTTCTTTAAAAATAAATTTTTGCAGTGTGAATGTAAAACATTTCTGAGAGTTATTGCCAGAGCAGAAAATAGTAGACTAGATAAACCTATGGCTCTGACTTGGTATGAAGCTCTACCTTATCTCTTTAATCTTTCATTCATGACCTGTGTAATGTTATAGGATATCGGTTGCTGTGGGTTTTTCGATCTCTTTGGCCGTGTTCTGAAGGTTGTTCAGAACACGGCCAAAGAGCCCGAAAAACCCACAGCAACCATCAGATCCCGGCCGTGAAAGCCTTCGAGAATACATTATAAGATATTCCTTCTCTGAGATCAAATTACCATACTGAACCTATGGAAATAATCCTCTTCCTTCTATTTATTATTGTTTATCCTTGTACAGCATGTCCATCACAACGTAAATACAAAAGGCAATATAGAATAAAAAATAAGGCATGTGAACTAACTGTGATTTTATACACTCTTGTCAAACATATTATTTACTAGTTAGCAATTTCAGTAAAGAAAATGAAGAGATTGGCCATACAGACACATATCTATTCATTCTGAAGAAATTACAGTATTGATAAATGTTGCCTATGTCTACCATTCACATATTAACTAGTTTTCAGTAGAAAAGAAAGCTGGTGAACTTAAGCCAGAGGCTAAAGATGTCATCAAGCATCATATATAAAAAAGGAGAACTTAGTGCAGCCTCCCTAAGCCTGGTTTCTTCCTGCTAGCTGGAAGCTTATGGGAGTTGTAGTCAAACGCCTTTGAAAGGCACCCACTTGAGGGTGGCTGGCTGAGAGTGGTATAATATAAACTTCAACACAGAAGTTTCTTTTTAAAAGCAACTTTGGAGACAAATTCAAAATGGAAACATATGTTTACCCATTTCTATAGCACAGCTAACTACTAATGAATGAACTTGCTACTCAGGGACAAAGTAGCTATGGGGGTCATTGACACTTCGGGCTCATTCCTGAATTTCATCCCCCATGTTTATAGAAAGGGAGCTATGGTATTTCCAGTTTTAATATCCAATGGACATACACTGAGAAGGGACTGAAACTGGCCCTGCCCTGTTCTCTTCCCATGTCAGCTGCAGGAACAACTATTTTCCTTCTCAACACCAGACTCCAGCTATTCTGATCACAACACACTCCAGTGCTCTAAAGCACTTTAGCATGCTAAACGCATGATAACATCCAGTAGACCTGATAATGTGTTTTTTTTAAAAAAATGAATAAAATTGTTCTGTGTTGCAAAAGGATCGTGATGTTTTGCTGACCAACACTTCACTGATTTCTGTTTTTAATTTTTCTTAACTTCCCCTAACTTAACAAAAGCTTAACAATTGGGCCCCTTGTTGGGAGAAATGTGGCATATAAATAAAATTAATAAATAGAGAAAAAGATTACAAAAAATTGTGACACTGGTTTCATATCCCACATTAAAAGTACCTATATCTCTTAAATGGGGAACTTTTGCCTGAGTTACAAAAATCAATTAAGTGCTAATTACTATTTGAACAAATATTGAAAGATATTTGCAAGGAAGTCACATTTTATGTTTGGGGGAAAAATTCAGTGATAAAAGCACAGAATCCTACACAGAGATATAGGCATAGAAACAAGCTTTCCATAACCATTAAATTAGCTATAATTTCGTCACCAGTTTAACCAACAAATGATTTTAAACCAGACTTATGTAATGCAATTCTTGTGTAGCAAAAAAAGATTATGTATCAGTAAACCAAGCAGAAGACAGAAGTCATTGCCTTAAGATTCACTTCTTTTGGCCAACACTGATCTAAGAAACTGGAATTATAACTCACTAAAATGCCCCTTCACAGACTGCTGCCTTGTCGTGGCAAAGAGGCTTGAATAATTCGGAGAAGCTATGGGTTATGCCGTGCAGTGACACCCAAGATGGACAGGTCATAGTGGAGAGTTCTGACTAAATGCTAACCAACTGGAGCAGGAACTGGCAAGCCACTCCAGTATCTTTGCCAAGAAAACTCCATGGACAGAAACAAAAGGCTAAAAGATATGATGCCGGAAGATGAGCCCCTCAGGTCGGAAGGTGCCCAGCATGCTACTGAGGAAGAGCGGAGGACAAGGACAAGTAGCTTCAGAGCTAATGAAGTGGCTGGGCCAAAGCTGAAAGGACACTCAGCTGCGGACACGCCTGGAAGTGAAAGGAAAGTCCGATTCTGCAAAGAAAAATACTGCATAGGACCCTGGTATGTAAGATCTATGAACCTTGGTAAGCTGGATGTGGTCAAACAGGAGATGGCAAGAATAAACATCGACATCCTGGGCATCAGTGAACTAAAATGGACGGGAATGGGCAAATTCAATTCAGATGATTATCATATATACTATTGTGGGCAAGAATCCCGTTGAAGAAATGGAGTAGCACTCATAGTCAACAAAAGAGTGGGGAAAGCTGTACTGGGATGCAGTCTCAAAAATGATAGAATGATTTCAATATGAATCAGAAGCAGACCTTTTCAACATCACAGTCATCCAAGATTATGCACCAACCACAAATGCTCAAGAGGCTGAACTTGACCAATTCTATGAAGACTTACAACACCTTCTAGAACTGACACCAAAGAAAGATGTTCTTTTCATTATAGGGGAATGAATGCTAAAGTAGGGAGTCAAGAGATAAAAGGCACAACAGGTAAATTTGGCCTTGGAGTTCAAAATGAAGCAGGGCAAAGGCTAATAGAGTTCAGTCAAGAGAACAAGCTGGTCATCACAAACACTCTTAAGATCTATAATAATAATAATCACGTGCCTTCAGGTTAATTCTGACTTCTGGCAACTTTACATTTCATGAAGTTTACCATTCCCTCCTTCTGGGACTGTGAAGCTTGCCCAAAGCCACACAAGCTCGTTCTACTCACAGGAAGCACAGTAGGGAACTGAAATCCTGACCTCTGGTCTTGCAGTCCAATATCTAAACCATGCCTTCTTGAACTCTTGCTCTCCTTTTATTTCAAATGCAACTTTATTGGACAGTTCTACACCTCTACTACTGATATGTGCATCCATTTGGAATGATTTATTCTAAAGATAAATCAATACTTTTCAAAATCTTACAAGTTACAGTTGTATATCATCTTTGTGTATTATCTAAGAATATATAGATTTTTAGATATACATAGATTCTTAGAATGTATAGTCTTAGATACATGCTATATATCTACGAGCACACAATGTCTCATTTCTTCATACAGAAATATAGAAAGCACCGGAGAGTGCTTGTAGCGCTATGGGGCGGTATATAAGTCCAATAAATAAATAAATAAATATTTATTTACAATGTTTACCACAGGTTTTTAAAATTAAGGCTAAAGTAATGTATCTTTCCGATTGCTTTTATCTTTGTAGTTTGTTGATTTGGTGATTTTTGTCATATTGTTGGACAAAATTTTTCAAAGAGGTTGATGTGGGATTAATAAATCATCACCATTTTCATGATCAGCCTAAACATCAGGCAGTGCGCCAGGTGATCTCAGGAGGCTAGACAAATGGAGAAAATACTACTTCTGGTAGCAGTTTTGTATCACCATCTGCTCCTTCCGCCGATTCTGCGCAGAATGCAAGAGTTCTCTAGCTGAGGAAACAAATAAAAATCTCCTCTCCTGCCTTAATCTCTGAAAGATTTTATTCAGTGTCTTGCCATAACAAAGACCTGCTTCTCATACACACAGAAAGATGCAAAGAAGAAAGGAAAATGTAATTATGATGGCTGCATACTGATATCAACATCCATATCGTAATTCTACTAAGGCTAGATCATGGTTACAGAATATAGTACCCAGCGCAGACAGCTGATTTTGAAGGAGGAACTGCTAACTTTTCTTTCTTTCCCCCTGCCCCCCAAGCTGAACATGGGGGAAAATGTTTTTAGCCAATGTAGTCTATGCCCACACTTACCCAAGGATTCTGGGAAATGTAGTCCATGATAGGAACTTTTTATAATTTTGCTTTTAACATCTCAAGTTTAGGCCAAACATTTTCCCAGATTTCATTTAGGCATTTTTACTCCCTTACCGTCATCTTCACATTCTTCTAGAGGCTTTTGCTGTTTGTTCAGGCACCGTGGATCTAGCCAAGACGTCGTTTTAGTGTTATGGCTGCAAACCAAAAATTGAAATGTGATTTTAAAAAACACACACACAAACAAACAAACTAGAGACAGAAAAATAACACCACTTCTGTTTATCTAAACTGAAGGCTTATTAACTTAAAACATAAATAATAACATTTTATATGACACAAACTTCCCATTGTATTGTATCTGCAGCATTTCCCAGCTACACTTCCTTCATAACCTACTACAACCACCTCACAAGCTACTGTGTTAATCAGTGGTACTCATTACTATGTTGCTCCTGCTATGTTATCTATAGCCTGGGATTAATTTAGCTACCAATCGTCTTTGTTTACAGAAAAAATGCTTTCTGGGAGAGGAACCTAATGTCAACAGGAGACTTAAAGGCCACTGCCAGGTTACCAACAATTTGTGTCCAAGAAACAAACAAGTCTAATTGTTTTGGGGAACCATGTAAAATGTATAAATATTTGCCATGTAGTCTCACTCTTAGGTCTGAGGAAATGGACTTGTCCATGAAAGCTCACATTAAAACACTGCAGTCTTCAGGGTGCCACAACATTTTGTCTGCTTTACTTTTTTTTATTTTTCTTTTATTTTAGGCTTAATATGATAGGACTGACTAACACAGTTACCTCTTCTAGAACAACTCCGATTCTACATGTCTCTCTCATGTCTCCTTCTCAGTCTTTTCATCTCCAGTCTTTTCATCTCTGAGAGGAAGTGTGTTCAGTTTCCTAATAACAACTAAATGTGCTTAAGAATATCTTTTGAGTTTAAGGATGGAGCAGTAACTGCTCTCACAAGAGCTGAAGCATGACAATGGGGACAGAAACTGAGCATCTTGACAGATAAGGGGTAGGGATGTAAAAAAAAAATCTTTAATTTTTTTTAAATTCTCGTAGGTAAGAACAAAAAAAGGTGAAATATTTTCTATTGAGAGGCTTACAAGGCATTCTCTGCATTTTTTTCTAAATAGTTGGAGAGTGTTTTTCACATCCAAGAAGCGGCTTTGTACAGCCTTTTGGAAAAGAAGTATTTTCTGAAAAATATAAGGGTCATTTTGTTATGTGTGGGTTTTTTTCCCATTAAAAAGCTAATCCTTTTGCTATTGCCACTGCTCATGAAAAACAAAAATCCTATTTTTGCTCCCATGAAAGAATGAAAAATCTCAACATACTTGACAAGTTTTAAGTGGGATGAAAAAAACTATCCAACTATTTCATCCCAAACAAGAAACCTTGTGAGTCTTTGTTAACATCTTTACTCATGCTTCCTACAGCTGCTGAAGAATCTGGCAGAAAGGCATCCTGAAATCATGGTGAAACGATTCAGAAATGGTACAATCCAAGTTAAAGGCTATGCCCAACAGCTGGGAACTTCTTTTGAGATGGCCAGCATCACTTGAAGCCTCTTTGTGTATGAATAATAATTATTACTATTAGTTTTATTTATATGCCACATTTCTCCCAACAAGGGACCCCAGGCAGCTAGGTATGAATGAATATTTAAAAGGCTGAGTTGCAGCTAGACAATCAAAAATCATGACTTGCACATAGGTCAGGCAATACCAGAGTTTGGAGTTTGTTAACTCTAGGTAGGTCAGGCAATACCAGAGTTTGGAGTTAACTCTGTTAACTCTAGGGAGCCTCGTGGCACAGTGGTTAAACTGCTGTACTGCAGCCAAACCTGTGCTCACAACCCAGGGCTCAATCCCAGCTCAATGTTGATTCAGCCGTCTATCATTCCAAGTTTAGTAAAATGAGTGAGTGCATCTTTTAACTTTTTAGTAATTTTAACAGTTGCAGGCTCTGACTTCTACCAAACAGCAAAGGAAGAGTATTAAATGATTCAAGTGCTGGCTCATGCTATGCCTCATGATGGTGCTTCAACACTTTGCCCTGCTAAGGAATGACAGAACCCTATTCTGTAGAACTGTGCACAGGGCTTTCCATCCATTCCATCTCCCAAGAGATTCATGGAATGGGTTAACCTTTCTGTGAAATTATTTGGTGAAGAATATACTTGCTCATTTTATATACTTACCACTAAATAACAGTTTTGCTTTCAAAGGAGGGACGTCACACTGCTGATATCCATTGTAAGTAATATGAAAGATTGAGTGGAAGGTCCCTGTTTCACACACTACTTTATTCCACCCTCACAATACAAAACTGCATTAATCTCTTTAATTCTTTTGTGTCCTACAGCAGTGGTCTCCAACCTTGGGCCTCCAAATGTTCTTGGACTACAACTCCCAGAAGCCTTCATCACCACCTCTGCTGGCCAGGTTTTCTGGGACTTGAAGTCCAAGAACATCTGGAGGCCCAAGGTTGGGGACCACTGTCCTACAGGATAATTAGTCTCCAATTGGTATATTAGGGCATAGAAGTCCAACAAGCAAGTCAAATGAATAATAATAGTGTTAACTAGGTCTGCCAAGGTGCAAAGGCCCTACTGGAAGTGTGAGGTACTTCTGAATAAATATTTCTTTCAAACTTCCCAAAGCCATGTTACCTGTTGGTCCCACACACCAGCTAGAGGAAGAAGGGCTACTAAGTTCGTTGCAGTATCTCTAACCAAGCAAAAGACTCCAGCAAGGGAAGATTAACTTGGGCTCAATTAAGTCCCTGCTGACAAATTATTTCTTTGATATGATTTTCTTCAACTGGTCTCTACCTTGTCCTTCAACCTCCAATACGTTCCCCACTCAAAAACCTTTGTGGAATAAGAAAGTGTTCAGTTGGTCTTTGTCTCTTATTTGTACTGTGTTTTTTGGGGTCTTTTGGTGGAAACTTATAATCTGTGTTTTTATACATCAGTAATGTTAGATATATGTAGTTTGCAACTGATTTCTGATTTTAGTTATCTGTGATTATAGACGTCTGTGATTTTAACTGCGTTTGTAATGCAATTATTATTATACCTCTTATTTCTCAGCACTGCTGATGCTTGGGAGTGGACCAAAGAGTCAAGTTCTGATTTTGGTTGTGTGTGTGTGTGTGAAATTCCACGTTTGCAAAATCAGGAAGGAAATAGACAGCTATTGGCAACTGCTTTAAATTGGTAACATTTTCATCATCATCATCGACACAGTCAATCAAAATTATAAAAACACTGAGTAGTATTATATAGCAGATACAGGTTTTAACCAAAAACCTAAGTATCTCTAATACTACAAGGTGAATTTTAATAAATCATTATAAAGATGCCCCATCAGTGAATTTAATATTGGCTACAGCCTGTACTGGGCAAGTGCAAATATGTCTCTCTGCACCACCATTTACTGCACTTTAAAACTGTCAAACTCAATTCAAAGTGCCGGTCTTAACCTATAAACTCTTAAACGGCTTGGATGCAAGCTATCTGAAAGATGGGATCTATCAAGGATGGACTGGTGATTGGAGGTAAGGAAATATTATTTTATTCTTTTTGTCTCATTTATAGGCCCAATGGGGAGAACTCAAGGCAGCTCAACATGGGGTTCAGACAAGAATGGCTTGGGTCCAACATATCTAAAAAAACACATCTCTATATATGAGCCTGCCTGGACTTTAAGATAATCAGGAGAGGCCTTTCTCTTGGTGTCACCACCCTCACTGGTGCGCTTGGTGGGGACACAGAAGGCCTTCTCTGCTGTTGCTCCCAGACACCAGAAGTCCCTCTCATGGGAAGCAAGGCTGGCCTCATCATGGCTGTCCTGTAAACAGGAAAAGATCTTTCTCTTCAGGCAGGCTTTCCCTTAATAACTGCTGGTCTGAGAGGGGTTTTCAAAAGAATTGTTTTGCTCTGTTGTTTTAAATGTGTTTTAGTGTTGATTTTATTACCGTTGTAGTAACAAGTAATACTTGTTAAATTTTTTTAAAAAATATTTGTATACCTACTGTTTTTAGCTTCTATATATCATCTTTTTAATCATGTAAGCCGCTTTGGAAGGACAGATCCTGAAGCTGAGGCTCCAGTACTTTGGCCATCTCATGAGAAGAAAAGAGTCCTTGGAAAAAACCTTGATGTTAGGAAGTTGTGATGGCAAGAGGAGAAGGGGACGACCGAGGATGAGATGGCTGGACAGTGTCTGTGAAGCAACCAACATGAACCTGACACAACTCCGGGAGGCAGTAGAAGACGGGAGGGCCTGGCGTGCTCTGGTCCATGGGGTCACGAAGAGTCGGACACGACTAAACGACTAAACACACACACAGGCTTTCCCTTAATAACTGCTGGTCTGAGAGGGGTTTTCAAAAGAATTGGTTTGCTCTGTTGTTTTAAATGTGTTTTAGTGTTGATTTTATTACCGTTGTAGTAACAAGTAATACTTGTTAAATTTTTTTAAAAAATATTTGTAT